GGTGTGCTCAGAAAGGGAAAGTGTTTTGACATTACAGGTCTCCAGTGTGTTTTAGCATGCTACCTTCTTTAGGGATATCCCCTCCCCCCATTGTTCTTCATACAAAACAGGGTGTTGCAAAATGTTGAAACAGAATGATCACAATGAATTGGTTGTGTTTGTTTCAGCTGTAACTTTTAGGGGCAGTGAAAGATATATGATCAGGGAGTGACCCTTTGGACAAGGCATGGTCATGATTTTCATCCCAAGGACCATGGGCTCCCCTTGGTGTCTTTGCAGTACAGAGCTCTGTAAAGCCATTTCATTTGTCTCTGCTTCATCTGTCTGTAGAGCTGGGTGTGGGCAGGCAGTATGAGTTAGCGATGGAGCCAAGGGGCCTTGGGAGAGCTTCCTGCTGGCATAGACATAAAGTTCCTGCTTAGGGGGATGTCAGCAATTGCCAGATTGCAGGCCAGTGACTGGAATTATCCCTGCACTTACATGCACTGAACAGAGGATAGGAACCCAGCCCAGCAGAGCTTATTGACCCAGGAATTCTTGTTTTAATCTGACTGTGCTGCTTGATAAATCCATAAACCACACCTCAAAATAGAACTGTAACTCTCTGCAGTCCCTTGTAAATCTTACTAAATGTATTTACCACAAAGCTGGGTAGAAGGTGGGCAGGCATCAGTGTGAGCTGTGAGCATCTCAGCGGATATGAAGGAAGGGGGTGGATGGGAGGAGGGAAAGGGCAACCATGTTTTCATGAGCATCAGGGTCAGCCAAACTCTTCATGGATAATGTGTCCTCTTCAAAATCACAGCAACTGTGGAAAGATTTCTGGCACTTGTATGTATCTGTGTGTGGGTTTGTTTTTATTTTATTTTATTTTTTTATTTTTTTGCCTATCACAGGCTTTCATTGTCTGTGTTCTAAAAAATCTTTCTGGAATCATGCTAACCTTCATTTTACTTTGCTTATCTTATCTTATCCTGAAGACAGATGTAGTTTTCTACAAGTGGTCATTACAGGTACTTCTAAATCATTAAAATGTTGGACTGACAAGCAGGTTAGTCTCCCTACAGTTTTGCAGACTGAGTGTCCACTTCTGAAAATAATGTAGAATAAGGATATGCACTTATTTGTATCTGATAAACTGTACTCAAAGGAATAAAGTCACAAATATTTCAAAAACCAGTTGCAAGCTTCCTCCTTCAGGGACAGGAGTTGTGTTAAAATGGCATAAGTGGCAGCAACCACCCAGTGGAGGCTGATAATCTAGGACAGGTAGGATGCTGTCCCTCCGCAAGCTCAGGCTAACATCAGCTAGCCCATCAGCATGAGTTGAAACGGTCTCCCATGTAGCTGTTTAATGATAATCAAAGCTTTAACTGGTAGCAGCTTTGGTGGCCTTACAACAACATTTTGTATTAAAAAGATAGAAAAATCTTCCACCACCCCCAGAATTGGCATTGAGATCAACAATAATGAAAGCCTATGGGTATCAGTCTTATTAACCTGAAAATGTCCCCCCCTTTGTTGTTGTTGTTGTTGTTGTTGTTGTTTGAGAGATGAGGACTGGCCATTTCTTGTATGCATGCTGTGAGTCCACAAACAAAGGAGGATAACAGTTGGAAAGAAAGAAAGAAAGAAAAGTGGCTTGTTTATTTTTATTTTGACAGTTTGAACACAGCTGCTCGTGTGTGTGTTTCTCTATTGTTACACCCAGGAACAGGCATATGATTTGCAGTAGGAAGATATGTTAGAAAGGCATGGATCTTGCAGCCTCTGCTCATACTTTCAGTGTTTGTGAATGACCTTGTGAGTGGTGGATTTTGTATTGTGCTGTTTTGTGATGCTTACATCTGAGTAGAAAGGATGGACATGTATAAGGGGACCATTTTTTTGAGGGGGGCACAGAACCTCCTGACTTCCTTATTCTGGATCAATCTAGTTCCTGTGGGTAAATCTACATAAAAATGATTTTTACTACTATGAAGCTTTGTCAGTTAGATAAACTGGATATTTGTTGTTTTTCTTAAGTTCAACCAATAAAATGTGAGGTGGATGTTGGAGATGTTCTCATCAAAGTCATGACAGGGTGTAATCATTCCTAGTCTTCAGGGCATTTAACAAACTAATAGATTGGGTAGAGTCCTCTGCCCCCTCCCTCCCCCCCAATCAATTCATTTTGAAGCATTTTTGAAATCTCTGTTTGTATTCCTTCCATATATTTCTTTATAGAGCTTCTGTTTGTAATGAATAATGATACCAATAACAATGATTTCTTTAAAAGGCTGATCAATGACTTTTAGTGAAAATTTGCTTTTACTGGTGTCTGATATAAAGTCAGTTTTCTCCTTTCCACCTCATAGTGCCAAGCTTTAATAAACATTGTCCAACAGCAATTTATTCTCATTCCCTTGTTCCTCCTCCCCTTTCTGTTTCTTCTTAGTATTTTAATTCAAATGCCACATTTTGGGTAAATGCCTGAAGTGAATAAACCTTTAGGAACCGCCTCCTCAGATGGGAGTATGTTTCTGTGTGGGTGCGTGTGAGAGAATGGCTTCCTGACTGAGTGTATATGTTCACATTTGTGTATATGGCAACACCTACCTGAGGCTGAGTATGTATGCATATAAATGCCCGCCTATGTGCGAGAGCTTTCCTTAACAATGTCTGTCTGTGGATGAGGGCACTCAGGAGAACACTTATCTGAACATGTGCGACAAAGATAGAGAGAGCATGCCCAAGTGACTGACTCTGATTTTCACTGGCTGCTTTGTCCTCTGCCCCCCCCCCCGCCCAGTACCAGCCATCACTGCAGTCACCCCAGCTGCATCATCCCTGGTGCAACTAACCATGCTGAAAATGAGCAGAACAATATTTTCCTCAGGCTTTGTTCAAGGAGGAAAATGTGGTCTCTCTCTCTCTCTCTCTCTCTCTCTGTGTGTGTGTATGAGAGAGAGAGAGAGAGAGAGAGAGAACCAATAACACTACCAAAGCAGCCTATACTTTTTAAAATAATAACCTTCTCATCCTCCCTCTGTGCTGACCAGGGACCTGCCTGTCATTTCTTTATAGTCTCCGGAACACATTTGAACATAATTAAGGGCAGCAGCAGCGGCCATCCTTGCAGCTGTTATGAGGAACGTATGAAATTGCCATCTTGGTCCATCTAGCCCAGTGCTGTCTCCCACTCAGATTGTCAGCAGCCCTCTGGGGTCACCGTCATAGGTCTCTCTCCCAGGTCTGTTACCGGGAGTCTATTTCTAGTAAGAGTCTGCATATAGGACCTTCCATGTACATGGCCTGTGTTGAGCTGCTGAGCTTTCAGCCCTTTTCCATCACCGTGTTTGAAGGGGCAGATATAAAGCCTGGATGCATCTGATTGTAAAACAAAAGCGGTAGGCTCTGCCCATAGTGGACTGATGTGCTAATGCCAGGGGAGGAATGCCCACACTCCCAAGACTTCTATATATGTGTGTCGAGTTATCTCCTGCCACATTCACAGGGAGCCACTCTAGGGATCTTAGTAGCCCAATCTGAGTATCTTGCATCCTGTGCCAGATGGCCCAAACTTGAGGTGGCCACAATGAGATGTTTTCCCCTTATTTTGCTGTCTCTAGGTTCCCCATCCTTGTGCCAAGACTCTGAATGCCAGACATTTTACCTGTTTCTGAGCTGCCTTTAAGTCAAGTCCTGGAAAGAGTGCTATTGCTCCTCCTGATGGGTGCAGACAGACCCACCGCAGAGGCAGACTTGCAGCTCCAACAGGAAGGCGAGTTAAGTGTCTCTGAGCCAGCGTGTGCATGTGATTAAAATGCACTGTTTGTTTTACTTAAGCACAACAGTCAGAGAGAGTTACAGGGCAGTGAGCTAGAAAATAACATTTACAGAAACAGCGCTGCCGCCGCCAAGTTTCCTGACCTTTCCAAACCTCATTATTTCACACTTTGCACACACTTCCCTGGCACAAGGGGGAGGGGGGAGAATGGGTGCTCGGAGACATGAGAGTAAGTGGCAGGAGATGGAGCGCGGCCCCCGGATCCTCTGACTGTCTCATCTTGTGTGCCCCTCCCTTCCAGCCATTTCCACCCTGACTCGTGCTGCAGCAGCAGCAAATTGAGGCTTGGTGGTGCTGTAGCGCTGTGGGATGCAGTTGCAACGCTGCTCTATAGCCTGCTGGCACCCCACCCCACCCTGTACTGTATAAACTCCGGCTCCTGAGTGAGAGAACCAGAAAGGATGCCGAACGGCCTGGCAGGAGGGATGGACCTTCGGCAAGTGAGCATGAATCGGAAACGAACAAAATGATAACATGTTAAACAGTTCTCAGCTAGAAACCACCCCAAAATACATCATTAACCAAAATGAGATTGAGAGGGAAGGAGGGAGAGGGAGCTCTTGCTCTGTCTTGGGGAACATCTGTGTTACATGTGGTCCTACGTACTCACTGACAGGCACCTCTGTTTCCACATGTTGTTCTTTCCTTTGGTGACTACACCTGCAGCCCTGTCCCAACCTGAAACCCTGCCTCTTCCTAAAGACAGGAATCCTGAAAAAAGAACCCAAGGTCTTCCAGTGTGAATACTAAAGTACCCGAAGCTGTTCTAAACCCTGTGATCGCACAATAACACCATGGCCTATCTCGTCCCTCTGTACTTGGCCTTCCTTTGCCACCCTTTCTCTCATACAGAGATCTCAGATACCTAAAAGGTAGGTGTGTGTGTGTCTATCCATATGTACACATGCACAACACATACACACACTTGAATCTGCTGTGATCGGTATCTTTGCATAGCAAAGGAAACAAGGCATAGCTGGGGCTCCATCAAATGACCAGAGAATTCCTGTTACAGTGCTGGAGGCTCAGTGCCACCCCTGCCCCCAGTCTCTGGGGTTTGCTTTGCTAAACCACAGCTTTCTGACAGAGAACAATCCAGCCATAGCAACAGTTGCTAAGTTCCCTTGCCTAGACTTGAGCTTCAGTTCTCACCAAATCTCCACAGCTGGAAACATATTTACATGCAATTACTGCTCAATAATTAGTGTGTGGAAACAAAGCTTCCATGATCAAGTATGTGGCCCTGGCTGGCTTCTTGTGGGGGAGCAGAAGGAGGAGAGTGATTCTTTCTCAGTAAGGTGAGTCCATCACCTGGCAAAATCTGATTAAAAAAGGTGCAGGAGTCAAACCTGGGGGTATGTTTCTCAGAAAAGATGCCAAAGCTCTAGTATACTTGCAAACTAACACCTGGCTGGCCCCATTACACAATGTGTGAAATGACTCTCCGTTCATCAGTTGTGAATTCTGGGAGAGGCCAGTAGCATAGCAACTGTGAGGCAAAAGTGGGCCCAGCCCTGGGAGTCACCTGGAATGGGCACAATACAGGAACCAATGATGAGGTGTTAATGCTGAGGTTAAATGTAATTGAGGCTACATTATATAATGCTTTATTTGAAAGGGGATAATTGGGCATGTTTTTAAGGTGAGTTATAAAAACCAAATGTTAGCTTGCCCAGAAACATAATGAGGGCAACAGGCCAGGAAGAATAGAAATACTGTGGCTTCTTGTTGACCCTGTTCCTGCAGCCTAATGCAGATCAGCATTTTTCTGTGCCTGGAGCTGTGAGATGAAATATATAACTAACTACTCATACTGCCAGAGATTGGTAGGTAGTCAGCCTAGATTGTTCTTCAGTTGAGCTGTGCCTGTGATAGAAATGTGAAGCTCTAGAAAATTGGAGGATAGACATCCCTCCTTTCAAATATTGGGGATTTTCCCCCCTGTCCCTCTCATACACATTCACATCTCTATTGTATGGCAGTAGCAAGCCTAGAAATCTCAGTTTTCTTCCAGTATCCTTTGCATGAGCACCTGCTTTGTTTTTCCCCCAGATGATGTCCAGAAAAGTCCTGGAAGCCATTCTGGGAATTATCAGTGAGATGGCATGCACAGTAGAAAATGGCAAAACCAAGTAACGACATAGGTAAAAGGTAAAGGTTCCCCTTGACAATTTTTGTCCAGTCGTGTTCGACTCTGGGAGGCGGTGCTCATCCCCATTTCCAAGCCATAGAGCCAGCGTATGTCCGAAGACAATCTTCTGTGGTCACTTGGCCAGTGCGACTTAGACACGGAACGCTGTTATCTTCCCACCGAAGTGGTCCCTATTTATCTACTTGCATTTGCATGCTTCCGAACTGCTAGGTTGGCGGGAGCTGGGACAAGCAACGGGCACTCACTCCGTCGCGTGGATTCGATCTTACGACTGCTTGGTCTTCTGACCCTGCAGCACAGGCTTCTGCGGTTTAGCCCACAGCACCACCACGTCCCACATGGCATAGACCACAATCCTATTCAGAGGTCACACAACCTGGTGAGGAAAACATGCTTGAAAGGGAGTGCTTAGCCTTGTCCCCATCATCATCATGTTCTTTGGTGTTTCAGTACTGGCTCTGAAGAGCAGAGGTTTCAGCTCACATGAAAGCTCTGCACATGAGCAAGAAACCAGATTTTTCAGGGTTCCAGATCATGTGTAGAGCCTATATGCAAGCAGAACACTCAGACCTGGCACTGAAACGATGAAGAATGTGATGATGGATCAGGTCAGGCCAGGTGCTCCCATCTAAGTGTGTTCTCTTTGCCAGATGGTAAAAAGCTCGGCTAGGGCTTATGTATTGCACATATTACCTACCGTGAACATGGTATGATCATTTAACTAGCTTAAGTGTTATAGAGCTGAAGTGCGACTGTAATTCATAAATTGTTCTGTGAATAAGACCTGTGGCAAAAGTGTAACACTTTCCCAAGACTGAAACACAGATGCCACTTGCAAAGTGCAAAGGCCAAGTACAGATGCTCTTTCTGGACTATGATTTATACTGGAGTAAGCAATCTGGTGTTTTGAAGTACAGCTCCCATTAGCCCCAGCCAAGATGGGGAGTCTGAGCAAGTGCTCTAGTCTAATGCACTGGTTCTTAACCTTGGGTTACTCAGGAGTTTTGGACTGCAACTCCCAGAAGCCTTCACCACCAGCTGTCCTGGCTGGGGTTTCTGGGAGTTGCAGTTCAAAAACATCCGAGCAACAAAGGTTAAGAACCACTGGTCTAATGTATATCTATCTCTTTAGGTTAACCCTAGGCTTCCTAAAGGAAAGAACTGGTTGTGACCCTCCAGGGTTTCATGTTGGATCCTTTCCTAGCCCTACCTGGAGATAGTGGGGTCTGAACTTGGAACCTTGTGCCTGCGAAGGATTTGTCCTCCCACTGTGCTACAGGCTCTTTCTTGATTGCAGTAGCCTTATATTCCTACGATGCACTATGTTAAATTGTCATCTCACAGACATATGTCATGTTAGATGTTCTCTCTCCTTCCCTGCTCATCTCAGCTACTGGATCTACCCTGCTCTTTGGGCAGCAAAATAAGTGTGTGTGTGTGTGTGTGTGTGTGTGTGTGTGTGTGTGTGTGTGTGTGTGTGTGTGTGTGTGTGTGTGTGTGGGTGCGCATGCACAGCCAAGCATTTCCCTTTGTCTCTTTGCTGTGCTCAGCAGGCGCCTCGCATTCCCATTCCTAGAAATCTTCAAACGCTCCTAATGCTTTGTCATTTAAATGTAATCAATTCCATTCTCTCCTACAGCAAGGAAATAAGCTGGGCTGGCTTGTGGATTTGCCCACGTGTGTTTAAGTGGAGCTGGTGCACGGATGTTGCAAGATGGAGCAGCCATTCCTGATGTCTGCTGCACCTTGCAAAAAAACAAAAAACAAAACAAAAAACAACAACAACACAATGGCAGTTGGTAGCAGGAGAAGAAAACGTCCTCCCTGAATTGATTTAAATTACACTTTGATTGGGAACAGATGTAAGAGATAATGGTAGTGAGACAGGTACCTGGGAAGAGGCGGTGCAGGGAGGCAGGCAGGCCCAATAACGCTGATGTCTCATTTATTCAGTGTACAGTGAAAGAAAGGAAAGAACCCTACGAAGAGTCCAAGGACTGCTTGCTGAGCTATCCTCCCCTGCCACCCGCTGGGGTTTGGTCTGAAGCCCTAGTGCAAGCCTCCTTAGGTTTCCAGGAAATGCTGGAGCACCTCTTCACCTACATTCTCCCACAAGAAGAAGTTCATCACAGAACTCAGGTGGCCACAGAAAATTAGGTCTGGGGCAAACAGCACCTCTCAATAGCTTCCAACCCATGGAATCTAGCATCTGTCTTGACCAAGAAAGAAGGGGCTGAATAGTTTAGCTTGTGCTTGTACAGAAGCACAAGCTAAGCTAGTTGTCGGACAAAGCAGACTTAGTTCTGAGATACGTGCTAGAGAGTCTTTCACTGGGCTGCCTTTTAAAAGCATGAAACATATCCTCCTCCGATGCCTAGAATGGGTGGTGTGTGCATGAGAGGCCAAGCAAAGAAGGCACCTGGGACTTGACAACCCTTTCTCTAACATTTTCACTGCCATGCAAATGTGCCTAGGGGGCTTTAAGACACAAATACATTGTGGCAGCTTCTCTTGGAGGTAGGCAGGAAGAAGGACTCTTTCTGGGGTTGGGTCCCAATATACCCCACCTCTTCCTTCTACTCTGGTATCACCCTTAGCCAGACCCCTTGCTGCTGTGTATGAGAAGGTCATCTGCTGGGTGGCAGGGTCCCTATCTGCTTTTTTAAAAAATTGTCCACTTGCAGTTTTAATTGGTTCCCTCAATGACCAGACATAGAGACTCCTTCTCTTCCCACCCCTAATTAACTCTTAAGTCTGGTTAAAAGCTCTGGAGCTTCTTGCAGCTCAAGCAATTTAAATGTGCATGGTAGGAACTTTTAAATAATGATGTGATTACTGCAGTGTGTTGAAGATGTGAGAGATTTTCCCCACCTCCCTTTGGAAATATTTCAGAGACTTCTTTTACCAAACAGACACATAGATTGATGTCACTGTGATGCAGTATGTTTTAAACAGCAAGGTTATTCTAATCATGTGTGCACCAAAAATAAATTTAGAGGTATTATGGTATCTGTTCTCAATTCAAAAATTCTGGCAAGCGTTTCAAACTTTGCCATGCATATGAATCTATTTATTTATTATTTAAAGCATTTTACATTTGCTTTCAAGGAGTGCTGCTCACACAAGGTAGCTTACAAGATTACAAAACATGAAAATACAATTACAGTAAGAAATAAACACACACACACATACACACACACAGAGAGAGGGGGGGGCGGCAGTCTCCAAATACCAGATGCAAACCAGAATTTTTGTGTCTTCAGTATCTTTTTTTAAAAAAATCATATTACCGATGAGAGGCCATATGTATTTTCTTGAGGGAGGAGTTCTAAAGGTGTGGGATTTCCAATGAGAAAACCCTACCCCATAGTATGCATCAGGCTAATGGCTGACACTGTTGGACCAGATCTTAATGCTTGGACAGGTTAATACAGGACTTCAGATAATGTGGCTCCAAATAATTTAGGTCTTTAGAGTTAAAATCAACACTTTGAATTGGGCTTGGAAACCAAGCCTAGATAGCAAAGGTAAATGGCACAAAATAGGGTCCGAGACCAAATTTGTACAAGATGCCACATTCTATACTAGCTGCAATTTCAGAGCCATCTTCAGTATGCACTGAGCATATTACGGTAATCTAGTGTGGATGAAGCCCCGCATGTATTATTGTGACTAAATTAGTTCAAGGAGGAGCACAGCCACCTACAAGCAGCACTACCTTCACCTACATGCATTACACAGTCCAGGACTATTCCCAAACAGCATGCCTTTGGGATGTGTGTAAATTCACCCAGAGTCAGATGTAAGCCTCTACTCTGATCAGGATATTTTCCAGTCCACAGTACTGCCATCTAATTCTAATCAAGATCCAGCTTTTTAGCTCTCATCCGTTCCAGTAATCACTCAGATACCACCCCACATTTTCAACAACTTCGGATTTCAATGGTAGAAAAGACAGGTGAAGCTGTAAGTCATCTGTATTATGCATTAGTACTATATTTTTCCGTGTATAAGATGCCCCCATGTACAAGACACCCCCCCCCACTTTTCTAACCCAAAATTTCTTTCTTTACAAGAAAGTGGAGGGGAACGGCAGGGATCAAAGTGCTTTGATTCCTGCTTTCCCCCTCCACTTTCTTCCGAGGAAAGTGCTTTCCTCCACTTTCTTCACAAGAAAGTGGAGGGGGAAAGCAGGAATCATCAAAGCACTTTGATCCCTCCCCCTTCTTACTTTTGTGTATAAGATGACCATCAATTTTTAGTCTAAATATTTTACACAAAAGTATTGTGTTATAAATGGAAAATATGGTAAGTCACCTGCACCAGTTGAGGCTTATTGGCCAACTCCACCCTGACCTAGATGAGGGTTCCTTCAGGATAGTGGTTCAAGTGCTGGCCATCTCCTGGATGACTGTTGTAATGTTCTTTACTTGGGGTTTCCCTTGAGGCTGACTCAGAGATTACAGACAGACAGACAGACAGACAGACAGACAGACAGACAGACAGACAGACAATGACATTAGAGCCCAAACTGGACAACTTCTCCCAGCAGTTTCATGCAGCGTTCATGCAGTGTTATAATGCATGGCTTATGAGATAAAATGTTGAGGTGTCTCAAATATAAATGGCAGGAGGTCTCCCAGCACCACATTCTGGGTCCTTCCCCCCTCCAGGAAGGGCTGGAACTGTTGTACCAGCCCCCTCAGGGCCTTCCTATATGATCCCAGGGAAAAAGTCCAGAAGGACACCATGGTCATTGGTCTTGAAAGCCCTCCTGAAAGCCAGGAAAATTAGTTGGGTTCACATTCTCCCCATGCATTTGTTCCCATGCATTTGTAAGCCATTCATCACCAAGCCAAGGCAATTTGTGTCTCCAGACCAGAATGCTAGCCAGGCTGAAGTTGATCTGAATAATCAGAATCCTCTGAAACTAGCTGAACTCAACAACATCATCTGCTCCAAGACTTTGCTCAGGAATGCCAGATTAGCAACTGAATGTTAACAGTGGTTTCGCCTTGTTTAGGGTGACTGAAACTATTATGTGCATTAAAGAGGCACTGAGCATTTCTGATGCCATATTGTATGGCATATTGTATGCTTATCCCTCACAAATTTCAAGAATTATGTATTGTCACGACAGTTGTAGGTCTCCAGTGTCAATCTTGTTGCAGTAAACCAGGTATGTGCTCTAGCTTTGGAAAAGGTGTCCAAATGAGATGAAGCAAGCATATCTGTATGCTGTTGGAGCAGATACAGGTCAGTTCAAGATAACCCTACTTGCAGTCAGGTCAGTTCACATGCCCTTACAAATCACCGAGAGCCATTTGGCTGATGCATATTATGGGACAGGGCTTTTTCACTGGTAACCCCACACCTTTGGAACCTCTCCACAAGGAAATACATATAGCCTCAGCATAGATAATGGGATTTCTTTAAATTTTGAAAGCACAAAAATTCTAGTCTGCATCTAGTGTTTAAATAATCTTCCTTTTCATGAGCAAACCCTATGATGCAGTGTGACTGCAAGTAAAACTTGCATGAGTCTTCAACTGAATGGAATCATCATCATTATCATCTTGGAACTGCAGAATTAGAAGGAATCTAATGAATTATCAAGCCCAACCCTTGTCAGGGAGGCACAGTGGGGAATCAAATCCCAACATAAATGCCTTAACCACTGAGCTGTCCAGCTTAATTGACAATACTAAAGGAATGGTTGTGCAGATGGCATTGCTGTAGTTATGTGCCGTCAAATCACCTCCGATTTATGGAAACCCTCTGAATGAGTAATCTCCAAAATGTCTTGTCCTTGAGAGTCCTGCTCAGCTCTTGCAAGCTCAAGCCTTCTTTAAGGAGTCAACCCATTTTATATTTGGTCTTCATCTTTTCCTGCTACCTTCCATCCTTCCCAGCATGATTGTCTTTTCCAGAGAATCCTGCCTTCTCATGATGTGCCCAAAGCAGGGCAGCCTAAGTTTCAACATTTTTGCTTCCAGAGATAGTTCAGGCTTGATTTGATCTAGGACCCGTTTGTTCGTCTATCTGGCAGTCCAAGAAAGTATTCTTAAAGCTCTCCTCAAGCCGCACATTTCAAACAAATTGATTTTTTCCCCTGTCAGCTTTCTTAACTGTCCAGCTCTCACACCCATATATGATGATTAGAATTACAAGGTGTGGATGATCTTTGTTTTGGTCTCCAGTGACACATCCCTACATTTGATCTTTTCTAGTTTCTTCATTGTCAACCTTCCTAGCCCCAGGCTTCTGATTTCTTGGCTACAGTTTCCATTTGGATTGATAATTGAACCAAGGTATATAAAATAAATAATTATTTTAATTTTTTATTGTCAATAGTAAAGTTGTGCATTTCGCCTGCAGTCATGATTTTTGTCTTCATGTTCAGCTGCAGTCCTACTTTGGCACTTTTTTCTTTCAATTTCACGAAAAGTCATTTCAAGTCATTGCTGCTTTCTTTCAGTAAAATAGTGTCACTTGTAGTACATATCTTAAATTATTAATGTTTCTTTCCAATTTTAACTCCATCTTCGTCTGAATCAAGTCTGACTTTCTGTCTGATGTTCTGCATATGGATTGAACAGATGAGGAGAAAATAAACCTGATTCTATAGTTACTGCACTCCTTGGCATCTCCTTCCCTAGGGATCTGAATGTATATTAAGCATTTCCTGTCTGTGGAACATCGTTTTGTTTCCCGTATTTGTTGGCATATTCTTGTTAGGATTTTGACAGATTCCTTCTCTCCAGATGCAGCTGTCTAAAAATTGCCTGATTTAAGTCAGCTTAATTTGATGTGAAATGAAACTGAAAATGGGATTCTGCCATAAGGTTTCACAAGTCTGCCCAACATTATGCCGACCTCATTCACTGCCTCTTAGTACCCAAATATTTCCTTAACATATAAAGCATGAGCCTGAACAAGGAGGACTTCAGGTCCTGGGAAAGAAAAAGTAAGTAAAGACCCTGATATATAAGTGAAGGGGGAAAAAATTCAGAATTTAAATCATGGGGATAACTATACCATAGCACAGTTTCAATACTCATTCTGTGGTTGTGCATATGTGTGTGCATGCAGGCACATTGGACACGCGGTGCTTCATCCACATTGCAGCAAGGGGCCCATTCGCATAGCTGCCCACACAAAGGACCTCCTAGGATAGTGACACATTTGCAGAGCAGGAGGGTAATACCAGGCTGCCTTTGCTCTTGCTTTGACAGGGAAGTGGTGCAGAAATAAGGCTTTGTGCATTTGGAGCTGGGGAGGGGAGGGGGTAGAATGAATTGGTTCTTCAAGAAAGCTGGCAGAAGAGGATAATGAAAGATGAACACACCCTGCTTTTAAGCCAAATGAATATGCATTTGGTCCTGCTGAGAGGCTTTCCTGTGAGAGGCTAGCTAAGTTTCCTGAGTCCCTGTATTTTGATGGGTGGGATTGGGGCAGCTCTCCATGAGGCAGGCCCCTTTAAGTCAATTTTATGCCCCTCTGTGGACAACAGGATGACAATTTGCACCTTGTTAAATACCTGCATGGCTGATCATCTGCTGTAGATAGAGCAGAAAGCAATCACTGGGGACCTGCTGTGGAGCTACACTTTCCTTTACTAATCTTCTTATTTCATTTTAGCATTTACAATAACCCAGCCAGTAATCCTGACATCAAACACACAACACGCTCTTCCGAGCTGCATCGACGTAAGGCTGTGCTGGCGCAGGCAGGATATGCCGGCGCAGGCAGGATCTGCCAGCTCAACATCTCCTGATAACACTGAGAAGAAAGACAGGAGGGAAAGCAAAAGCATCTATCGCAATCAGCAGGCAACGCACAGGCCTATTGTGTCCTGATGTTCTATTGTCGAAAGCCTTGGCTGGAGAGTAAGGCTGCTGCAGTCCCACTGCATTCAGAAACTCAGATGCAAAATGCATGTAGGACTTATAAATATACCCTGAAGTACTCAGCTGCTTAGGGAATGACACCAAGGTGACCCATAGGGTACTATTCACACATTCTGGCACAGAGAGAAAAACAGAAAATGCTTTTCAGAGGATGAGCTGAAAGAATGCTGTTGTATTGCTGTTTTTTCCCCAGGTATTTTCTCCTGCGTGGCCAACAGTGCAAGGTGGATAAATTGGAAAAGGGGCACAAACACAGAAGTGCAAGATGGAGAAGGGTTTAAATGTAGGGACAGAAAGCCTTCAGGTTAAATCTTCCCCTCCTCCTTGCCTTTTCTGTCATATATCTGTGATCTAAATGATATCCACTCCAAGGTAAGGGAAGAACAGGTACTTGAAAGGGTAAAACTGGGAGGCCAACTAAATTATTTTGCCTTATGGACAGTATAAAACCGAAGCTGGTCCTATTTGCCAGATAAAACGTCTCCAGTGGTTAAGTGCCACACAGAACTTGCAGCTATTGGGACTTTGCAGCTTTGAGCTGCAAAGTCCTTCCTGATTAGGAGAGTTTGTTCTATGTTTAAGACTTTGAATGAAGAGGATAGTGATGACAGAATGATAGTGGAATAACATTTCAAGTTTTCTGAGCAGCAGACTACATTTAGTATAACAGGCAACACACCACAGAATCTCCATGTGCATGCAGAAATTCAATAAATGTGTATTCACAATCCACCATGGATATACTGTATATGTTTGTGTGTGTGTGTGTGTGCAGTGTCAGACAGCAAAAGAAATTCAAAATGGAGTTCTATAATAAGGCAAATCACTGTAAAATGTCATACATTAATGGGTGCAAAGATTCAGGAACCATGTTTTAGTATATTGCAAAGCATTGCAGGGGGAAAGGGGGGATTGTAGGTCATTATTTACAACATTTTGCATGCCTAAGTCCTTTTTCAGTCTATTTCAATTAAAAGCCTTCTGGAACAGCAGTATCTTACACATACTCTCTTTCAGTGAACAACATGTTTTTTTTTTTAAAAAAATTCAATATGCTATTGTAAGGGCTTCTCATGTATCAAGTTTCAAAATGCCACCAAACTGTAACTCATAATTATACATTTGCTTTGGCTATTTTCAAAAGTACCCTCTACAAAATTATCCTGTGGTTTCCTGTCCCTATATATTTCATTTCAAATACAGATACATGAGACAAAAATAAAACAGTAACTATTATAGGTGGTATTAACAGAAGTATAGTCTCCAAACTGCATGAAGTAATAATTAAGTCTTGTCTTAAGTACTGTGTCCAGTTCTGTAGACCCCCCCCCCTTTAAGAAGGATGCTGATAAATTAGAACAGGTTAATCAAAACAATAGCCAGTGTGGGGCTCTTGGATGTTTCAAGATACAAACATCATTTCAGAGAGGTGTATACAATCTTGTACAATCTCCTTGTACAGTCATATGTGTAGGAAAAATATCTACAACACTGATTTTCCTGATTACATTTGAAATATATGGAGTATGAGCAGAGCTATTAAAGTTCAGCTCTATTTCATTAGTTTTTTTTTTCTAAATAAGCCATGAGAATTAAACTAGAAGGTGGACAATATTGCACATGCGAGTTTGAAAATCTGGTATAACCATCAGATATTCCAGAGGCATATGATCACTATCAAAACATTGTGCTACTCTGAAACTACAACTCAGGTTTTTCAAATATTTATTGACGGAATAGAATCAGCCACACTTAGCACCCCAGGAAAGACAAATGTGGATTGTCCCTAATCATCTCCAGCACTCGGTTTGTTCATGATACGTAAATCGTTTTTTTAAAATAAAGCAAACCTAATCCCACAGGGTTAATAAGGTATTTAGAGTGAGCCAAACTGGTGTTTAAATTGTTTCATCCCTAATTTTTGATGGTTGCAAGGGATGTGGAGATCTGCCAAAATGTTCTTGTTCCTGCATTAAAGTCACCTGTAATAGGAAAAGCATGGGGAGAAGTTGTTAGTTTGAGATAGTCACATTTAGATTTAAGGCAGTTCATCATCTCTGTAGACCAGTGCTGGTGAACCTTTTTGAGCCCGAGTGCCCAAACTGCAACACAAAATCAACTTATTTCAAAGTGCCAACACTGCAATTAAAACCCGAATACTGAGGTTTTAGTTTAGAAAAAACAACTGCTCCTGCACTGTAAATGTTAAATGTGTGTGTGTGTTTTTTTCTATGGGTAGGATTAACAAAGAAATACTTACCGGTCCTCCAATCCCCCATTGTGCTAGACTGGTAATGGTTGCTATTGCACCCCTCTGCTGGACCACTGCACCAGCATAGGGGAATGCCGAAATCCAGGATCAGAGGATGGGTAAGTATGTCTCAATGGTAACTTATGGCTCGGGTGCCTATAGAGAGGGCTCTGTGTGCCAGCTGTGGCACACGTGCCATAGGTTCGCCATCGCTGCTGTAGACCCTTGAAATGGACCAAATGTTGAACAAAAGGGAAGTCAGTTGAGAGGCCCTCAGTTCCAGAGCCAAAGCCAACATCTGGGTGCTTCATCTACCTTGGTATCAAGACAGGACCTCAGCTCCTGACTAGCTGTCAGTGCCTTTACTTTTCTAGTGAGTAGAGACAGAAAGGCAAAATCTATTTGCCTAGGTATGATCACAGCACACTGTATTTTGGAGCAAGACTATATCAAACCCATTTAAGTAGTCAAGGAACTTTTGGGCCCTGAATTTAAAACTCCAGCTGACTGTTTTCCAGGGAAGAATTTTTAAGGGGATATTATCTTCCACTACACCCCTCCCAAAAGAGGCTGCTTTAGCCAGCAATAGGTTGGGGGGCATTATGGCGAAATGGTCCTCCAAATCTGTCAACCTGTGATATAGTCATGTCAGACTTTTTTTATTTGCAGATGTGCATGAATGAATATAATTATGGTTGAAATCCTGTTGTATAGCCCTGCATGTGCAATGGGGATCACATCTTCATCATTGTCAAATCACCTCTGATTAGAAGTGATTTTGTGATGCACACGACTTGTACACACTGCAGAAAAGTTGTGTGCATCTCAAACTTGCCAAAGAAAGCCTTTAATCAATAGTTATTTGCTGCTAATATCATGCCTGTTGTGCACATGGAATTGCACAATAGGATTTCAGCTTCTGTGTGGAAATCACTATAAATCCCCACAATCAGATCTACGTTTCTTTCCTTGAGCTTTAGTGGCTTTTATAAGTTTAGATGAAGCAGGGTTTGGCTATTTCATGCCAGTGTTACCCTTTCAATGCAGGGTCTCTGGGTCTCAGCCTGCTGGCTAAAGTCTCAGGGTATTGCTATGATTCTCTAGGCTTTCAGATAGAGAAACGAATCCAAGGGCATGTGGCACTGGAGGAGGGAAAAATGATTTTTATGCTTGAGATAGTATTAAAGTCTGAAAATCCATCTCCATCCATCCCTCTGTTTGTGCTAGGGCACATTGTCTCAGTTGAAAAGTGTTCATATGTGTTTTGCGTGGGTTAGCAGCAGCACAGGTAAGGCTGCATAAGATGCAAGCATAAGATTGCAGCTGTTGGGTGGCATTATTTATTATTTATTTATTATGTATATTTAGATCCCACCTCTAACAGCAACAGACCAAGCCATGCCATTATACAGCAACACAAACAAAAGCTATTTGTCTTTCATGTTGTTGTTTTGTTGTTGTTTAGTTCTTAAGTCATGTCCAACTCTTTGTGACCCCATGGACCAGAGCATGCCAGACCTTCCTGTCTTCCACTGCCTCACAGAGTTGGGTCAAATTGTCTTTCGTGTACAGTGTGATAACATGACAGGAAAAAGTTAATTTCAAGTGATGAGTGGTTGGTGATGTCAGCAACGATGCTGCTGCTAACCCACAGGTATTAACCAATCAAGCTCATTGAAGCATCTTTAGAATTTAAGCTGTGGAAAAATTATTTTTATTGATAAAGCAGAGAGGATCATAGAGAGAGCTGGGTCCCATCAGGCTTCAAGTAACTCAGTGACCATTTAGTTAAATGCATGAGGGATTTGTGTCTAATACTGTTTGCCTACTCAGCATGTTTGGATATTTTATTAAATAAAACCGAGGGAAAGAGCCCTATGATAGGATTCTGCCTTTGTGGTATCTTTTTTCTCCTTTATATGTTATAGCCCATTTTTCTCAGTTTAATAAAACTTAACTTCTTCTTATTTAAAATCCAGTTTGCTCAATGTCTTTGTTGCTTTGCAGGCATACTAGATACTTCCTTGGTATCTAGTATGCCTGAATTTTTTGTTTATTGAGTCTTGATTGCAGGAAAGGAAATATATTTCCAATAACAGGATTGCCTTCTCACACAGAAGTCAGAAGAGGAACAAGGGGCAGCTTTATGAATGAAGGAATATTTATTGATTTAAAATATTTTTATCCCGCCTTTCTCCATAAAAGGACCCAAGGAGACTTGCATCATTAAAAAAGATAGCTAAAAACAATAAATTAAAGTAATTTCCCTTCATATTTTCCTCCACGATCATCTTGCCTGGAAGCAATTCCAACCCACCAACCCTACTTTTGGGACACCACAAGGACCTTCTCTGGTTTCAGGCCTGATGAGATGAGACAAGTGTGATACAGCTGACCTTGGAACCTTATGTTATCAGGGTAGCCCGGAATCAGTGTTCCTTTTATCTTTCTTTTTAAGCTGTATCAAGGTTGATTTGAGAGAAAGAAGCGATAAAACTCTTCCAAAAGCAATTAACTGCAGCAAAAATATGAAAATGAAATCTTCCCAAAACAAACAAACAAACCTTGTTAAAAGCAGGTTTGGCAGTATAACACACAAGATGAGTTGCCAGAAAAACACTGGGTAGGATACTGGCAAAACACAGTTTGTGCATGTTCAAGTTCTGTTTCAGTCAGGAAATGGATTCTTATGTAAGCCTTACCTCCCATTACCCTCTGTAGACCATGTGGCTACAATGGGTATAAGCTGAAGGAGCAGAGGGGAGGGGAGGGGGAGGGAAGGGGGAAGGGAAGGGGGGAAGGTGACATGATAGGGAAACAGACCACAGCTACAACCAGGCAAGGTCTTGTGGAATGGGTGAGCTACAAAGTCAACAGCTCCCACAGGACAGACTACTTACTCTCCTGAGAGTAGTAACCTCACTGACCGCCACCCCTGAAACAGTGCCTTGCTGACTACACCATATAATAAGTCTAACTAGTCCTTCTTCCACTACTTTAGAAAGGATGCAATGAACCAGGAATTTCTTCTGCTCAAATCTAGTGGAAATGAAAGGAAGCCCTATAAAAATCCACATGGGAGATGGCTCCAGCTGAATTGCACTGTGTGGGCCATTCTGGGTTTCTCACTCTGCTACTCACAGGAGTGCTCAATATTCAGAACTTGGAAGAATTACTGTTTTGGAGCACAGCTCCCAAAACCCTCTTCCAGTATGGCCAAGCTCTGCCAAGAACTGCTTTTTGCGGCAGATGCCGCCGCTCACCATGTGACACAGCCACCTCGGAGTTTCCAAGACACCCTTCTCTTTCTTTTTCACGCTGTGCTCCTGCTGCTAATGTTTGCTGTTTCTGCCTCGCCTCCTCTCTCCTGGTGGCGGGTGTTTGTTGACTGATTTCACATCCAGGTTCCAATACGCTGGCCTCAAGCTGCAGTGA